ATCTAGGTCTCTTTTTCTTTGTTGTTTTTTTTTTTTTCTTTTGGCTTCAGTGGTGATTCTGTTCTCCTTTTCCCAATCGTTTATTAATTTGTATCTAAAGTTCTATATGCAGGTCTGGAATCTTTCATCGAACTTCTTCTTGATCATATCTAATACCTTTTGTCTTGAATTTCTGTCTTCTATTTTCTCCTCGATCTTTGCTTTTCTTTTTCTAGTTATGAGGCTAGACAGAATATTTATTTACAAAAAATTAAATTATATAAAAATAGTAATAAAATTAGTATATTTTATAATTTAACTTAAAATATTTAGATAGTATAATTTTATAAAATTTTTACTAATAAAATTAAAAATTTTTTATATATTATTCAGTTAAGCAGTTTATACAATTAGTCTTAATAACTAACTTGGTTTTAAAAGTTTGTATTTATTTATACAGAATATTTATTTATACAGTATTTATTTAGACAGATTTAATTATACTATATATTTAGAAAATATATATTAAAGAGATTAAACTATATTTAGTAAATATATATTAGCTATTTTTATAGACTTGCTTTTAAAATAACTCTTTTGGTTCAAATATTAAATATCTTAAGAAGTTTGCAAAAAAAACAATTTTTTTTACTATATTTTATTTTGATTTTAAAAACTAATTTCTTAATAATTATTATTTTTTTTTATATATTAAAGTAAAGTTATACCTTTAGTTTTTATTAATATATAACTTAGATTCTAATTACAATTATATATATATTAATTTATGAACTACAGAGACTTAAACTAATTTATCTATGATTTAAATCTACTAGAATAGTCTATGTCTCATACATGTATTATCTAAATTTATACTTCATAGCTAACTATTTTTAGTAATTACTATATTTCTTCTTTATTTCTTGATAACTAGTCATAATTTTCAAGTTGGTATATTAGGTGTTTGCTTTTAATAAATTTCTAAATTAGTATATTTGCAAATATAATTTACTGCAAGTTTTTTTATAAATTCTATTAGTATTATTATAATTAGTGCAAATAGCCTTTTTATAGCCTATATCTCAAGCTAGAAACTTGCTGTCTAGTTAAATTTACCACATAATCAAGTTGGTATTGCATTGTTAAATTAAGAACTTATCTTGGTTTGCTCTATTTAGTTTATATGATACCCTTTATTAAAGTGATTATACTATTTCAATTCCATCAGATAGTATTCTTTTATATAATATAAATACCTAATCCTTCTACTTATCTGCTCAAATACTACTAACTCATATTTCAAACCAAGTTTCTGCTACTGCTACTAGTTTTCTATTTTAGAACTTACTATTTTTTTGGTATAGTAATACTAACTAATCTATTTGTAGTATTATATATTAAACATATCCATACTATATAAAATATTCAATATTTAAGATTGTCTAAAATCATCCAAATCTATATATAAAGTTTAAATAATTAATAAAGTAAGTTAAAAAAATATATAATTATATATTTTTTTAGATACTATATTCATGAATAAAAAAATTAAAATAGATTATTTTAATAAAATTTTGAATAATTTTAATTTAAAAAATATTTAAAAGTATCCAAAAATATCTATATAACAATATTATCTATTTGTATTTTTTTCATATAGTATATTACTAGAACTATATTTTATAATGCTGTTTTAATAATTTATCTTGTTAAAAATTAGCTTAATATTATGAAATGCTTTAAGTAGCAAGTAGCTCTACTTCCAATCATAGGTCTTGTATTATATTACTAGAAGATATACTTTAATTCACCTTGACTTTTAATTTAAACTTTTATCTATTAGTTGGTATTGTATTATTGTTGGTATATTCTGGTTTCTTTTATCATAGACTTCTATATAGATATAATCAAAGCTCTAACTTGATACTTTTAGATATACTAGATTAGCTAGCCTGTCTTTATGAAATTATTTTTTTTAGCTAGTTGTTCTATAGTACCAGAAGTACTTCTAATTCTGATAAGACCAATTCTTTACTATAGCCCTTTTATATATTTATCACTTTTCTTGCTATTTTAGTTTTGATAGTATTGTATTATTCTTTTAAGCAAGTACCTAATGCTAATCTAGATTAGAACTGATATATACAATCAGTTAATTATTTTTCTAAGCAAGTATTCTACAAGTTAGATACAAAAATGTTAGTACTGTCTAAAGTAAAAGTGAAGAAATATTGATATTGCCTTTAGATTACTTCAACTAGAGAGTTTATTTGTATAATCTTTTATAACTTAAACTTTTTGTAATACTACTTGTTATATATAGTACTAATACTTCATAATTAGAGCTTTTTTTGAAAATTTTTTTTTCAAAACCATATTTGTACTTAGATTTTCTACAGAGCTTCACATTTGATTATAGCCTTATATAGATTATAGTAGTAAATTTTCAAATTTGCTACTAGCCTGACTTGAATTATTAATCTTGTCTGTAGGATTTAAGAGCTTAACCAATAAACTATGGGCCCAAACCTCTACTAAATTTATAATTAACAAACAGAAATTTGTTAGAGAAAAATAGAAGAGACAACTACAATATATATAATGCTAGACAAAAAAATCCTTGCATCTATATCTGCTTATAGAGAGATACTATAGTTTTAAAACTTTTTAAAAATTTAGTAAATAGTTAGGCTCTAATATTTATTATTTAATATTTATTTACTATAGAGCTCTACCTCTTTTCTCAAATATTATTTTTATTAACTAATTAAATTTTAGTATTATATTGAGGTAAGGTTTGGCTTTATTTTTTACTCTCTAAAATATTATTTAATAAATATCAATACTTTTAGCCTAGATTATATATTTTTTTGATAATTTTTTAATTACTAGAAAATTTTAGATAAGAGCTAAAGTTTGAATAATTTTTTTTACAAAAATTTAAAAAATTAATTGGATTCAATTAAAAATTAATAAAAAATCAATATTATATTTAAAAATTCTAAAAGTTTAGTATATTAAATTCAATAATTTTATACTAGTACCAAAAAATTTAACTTAATTTGATGAGATAATTATTGAAAAATTAATTTTTAAAATTTAAATTTTATTGTTATTTTATTTTATTTAAAAAAATTTAGTACTAACTGGTTTTTATTAATTTTACTATGTAATTTATTATAAATCACATATAGTGTAGAAATCCTTAAATCAACATATAAAATACATAATCTTTAAAAGCTTATAAATAAAAAAATAAAATAATTACAAATTAAATCTTTTTATAGAATAATAAAATAAGTCTAAAAAACAAATCTATGAAGTCTATTTTTGAATTGATTAGTTTTTTACAATGTTGAATTCTTTTGAAGTTAGTTGATTTTACTAGTTAACCTGAAATTTGGCCGCTCACGTAATATGAAAACAAGGCTTCTTATTGGTCAGAATATATGCCAAAAATTGTGTGATCAATTATTTGATATGATTGGTTGATTAATTACATCATAATTAGTTAGATCAATAAACCGTAATGCAGAGCTTATTCAGAATTTATTGTACTGTAGTTTGCGCATAATCTTATCACCAAATTGGAACAATACAAATTTATTCAGTTTATTGTACGTACGTACGTACGTATTGTGTATAACCTTATAATCAAATCGGAAACAATACAAAATTTATTCATTTTATGTGTGGATAATAGTAAATATTATATAAAAGGATTAGGAAACTAGAAGTTCTCACATAGAACTATACAAATTTTTTAAAGATCTTAATGTATATTGTATGAAAATATTGGAAAAATATTAGAAAAGGTGTCATTAATTATCAGGTTAAAAAGGTGCAAACAGAAATAAAAAGAAGTTTTATCTAATGATATATGTGGTCATAAGTAAGATAAACAAATAAAGAAGATTATAGCTAGATTTCTTGTGAGCTAAAGTCTAGTGATTAACTTGCTTGGCATCTAATAATTATAATGGATTTGGATTAGCAAACTATAGTGTAGAAGCCAGTAAAATAACGAACAATAGGTGGGAGGGTGGAGAAAAAAAAAGTAACTGAGATTAAGCAAATATTTTAAGTATATATTTGGAAAAACTATACTGATTTGATAATAGTGCTTAAAGCTCTATGAGGAATCATTTCTACTGTAAAGGCATTGTATGATTTGTGGCATAAAATTTAAAATCTATTGACTTTCATTCCATCAAATGCTGAAGATTGATTTATATGTCATTTAAACATTTAAAAATCATTCTTTAAATAGTTCACTTGATTTATAATAGAACATTATAAAAAGGTTACAACTGAAAAGGGCGGATTGAAGTTTTTTTTGTGAAATTCAATTAAATAACAAAAAAATGAATAAATAAAAAATAAAATAGTATGATTATCTAAAAGAAAAGTTCACTTACAAAAGATCTAAGAGCTAAAAAAACCAAGAACTGGTACCAAAAGAAGTTTCAAAGACTCATAGTGACAATAGCAATGAATTTAATGATATTGAAGATAGTGATGGAGAAATAAGTATTTTAAGAATCGAAGAAGTGAATGATATTATTACAAGGCTAATACAAGCAGTTTTAGAAGTAACTACCTATCGCCCGCTTGTGTATATTAGAAATTCAGTAAGAACCAGAAGGCAGTGAAGACAAATACAGAGAAAAGCTGTAGTTGGAATACCTAAGTTAGAATTATTTTGGTCATCAGTAAGTTATTTTCAATTAATCTAGCTAATAAAACACAATATAAATATTTATTTAGTCTACTTTAATGTAAAAAAACAGTAAATATATGTACAGATCCAGATATTTACAGTTCAGATAGTAACTCTGAAACTTCTAAAAGTGATTTTGAAGTCGGAACTGCTAAAGATCGCATGATATCTATCAAGAAATTGGGTAATATAATTAAAGAATTAGAAACAGAAATTAAGAGTAATAAACATAATGAGGTAGAAAAAGCTCATTTCTATGCAATGCTATCTTATTTTCGTCTTGTAGAATGTGGCTGAAAAAATATTGAAGCAAGTATTATTGTGGCAGAAATGGCTAGAAAGGGTGTTTATCATGCCCGTTATATATGTGTGTGGGCTATAAGCTATGTTAAAAATAGTATATTTCCTATTTCAAAACAAGGAAAGCATTCAAAAACTTGGAGTTTCCTCTAGGATGATAACATTTTAGTGCAGATCAAGTCCTTTTTTCGATCCAACAAATGGAATGTTAATCCAAATAAACTAGCGAAACATGTAAATGAAAATATATTTCTGAGTCTTTGCTTTGACCCGTCACTAACAATATGTGTAAGAACAGCCAGAAATTGGTTAAAAGCCCTCAAAGAAAAAGAGAAGCGAGTCCTAAACGTGGTAAAAAAAAATAATAAAAACCTGATCAGCTATCATATCAAACCAAACTGGTCCTTATGAACTAGTATTTTAAAGAAGAAATAGTGATTTTTGACAAGGTTGATAGCTCCCAGCTAAGGATCAGAGGAACCACATCCTCAGTAAGTTGAGGATCTAACGTGAAGCAAATTGGCTGCTTAGGCAAGTCGTATCTGGGCTTTAATGCTGAGTGAGTCTTTATTAGTACAGGAATATAGTATAGAAAATTTATATTTAGTCTAAATGTAAAGTTCTGGTACTTCCGATTTAAATAATAAAGGCAGGATCACCAAAAAATAAAAAAAATAAATAAAAAATAAATATTCTGTCTAAATGAATATAAAATTAGTCTACTAATTATATTTATTTAAACAGGTTTGACTATATATAAAAAACTTTTCTAAATATATAATCTTATTTGGCTTTAACTTATATAGTATTTATAGATTTTTGTTTTTTTTAAAAAATTTAATTAGTGATTTTCTACTTAATTAGAGAGAGCTCATAATATAATATAATATAGTTTATATATAAAAATTAGAAATTTTGAAATATAAGCTACTTCTATCTAAAACTTTTTTTTGTATTAAGTTAATTACCTTTGAGACTCTAATTGAAGTTGTAGAGCTCATTGAGATAAATCTAATAATTAAATTATCAAAATCAGCTTAGTAAATCATAAGATATCTTTAAAAAATGGTTTGCTAATTATTTAACAATAGTATTGTTAAAAAAAAAGTTTATATAGTTGGTAAAATATTTTTGAAGATATCTTGTGATTCACTAGGCTGATTTTAATAATTTAACTACTATTAGATTTATCTCAATAAGCTCTACAACTTTAATTAGAGTCTTAAAGATGATTAACTTAATATAAAAATTTTTAGATAGAAGTAGCTCATATTTCAAAAACTCTAGTTTTTATATACAATATAAACTATATTATATACTATAAGCTCTCTCTAATTAAATAGCAAATCACCAATTAATATCTCTTTAAATACCATATTCTTTCAAAAATAAGCTATCTTTTTTTGGCAAAAAAGTTATACAAAAATCATGGAGGTAGCTTATTTTTGAGTAAAATTTGAATAAAGTTAATTTTTATTAATTTTTATTAGTTACAAGTAGTTTTTATATATAAAAGTCAAAATTTTACTAAGTAAATCGATATATATCGCTTAATACAGATTGTTCAGGAGGTAAAAATACACATATTTTAAAAGTTTTATGCAAATCAGAGAATCTTTTATTAATGCATTTTTGCATTTTACATTTGAACATAAAATGCAAAAATGTATTAATAAAAGGTTCTCCGATTTGTATAAAACTTTTGAGATATGTGTATTTTTACCTTCTGAACAATCTGTATTAAGTGATATATATTGATTTACTTAGTAAAATTTTGATTTTTATATATAAAAACTACTTGTGACCAATAAAAAAATTATAGTAGCTTATTTTCAGAATAAAGATATTTTTTATGTTTTTTCTCTAAAAGAAAAGGGGTAGCTTCTTTTAGAGGTAACTTATTTTTGGAAGAATATGGTATATATTTTTTTGGCTATCTTTTAGCTATATATTTAAAGAAATTTAACTATATAGTAGAAATAGAATAACTAGTTTATATATGGGGGGAGTCAGTAAAAATAGGACAAATCATTTTTAGTGAAATTTTTTTAATTTTTAAATTACAATTACTCAACAACTACTCAACCAATTTTGATAATTTTTTTTTTAATTTAATCTTAGAATTATCTAGAATTAAAATAAAAAAAATTTATTAGATTTAATAAGATAGTTGACAAGATATTTAAACTTAAAGTTAAGAAAACTTTTATTTAGAAAAAATTTGTTCCATTTCTACTGACTTCCCTCTATATAACTATAAAATCTACAAAAAGAACTTTATATACTCTTATTGGTTTATTATTTTTTTTTTAAGAAAATTTTTTGTAAAAAGTAAATATTTTGGCTTACTTTATAAAAGATTAATATTATATATACCAAACAAATTAGTATTGTTTATTTTCTAAATCTAATTAAATATAACTAAAAAAGATTTTTTGATTATTGTTTTAGCAATTACTTGTACATATCTTGAGTATAAAAATATTTATACAAATGATATTTTAAAATATTATTTCAACTTCTCAATAAATTATACTGGTTAATAATTTTTTTAAATAGTTTTTATTTTAATATACTAATTAAATAAATATAGAATAAAGACTAATTTGTTTAGTATATAATTTTTACAAGCTTTTTACAAGTTTATAATAGTAATATTAGAATAAGCAAAATTATTATTATTATTATTATTTTTTTAGTATATCCTGCTATTGTTTTATTAAGATATTAATCAAGCAAAAATTACAAAAATTCTTAACTATAGTTATTCTCTCTTTAATCACAACAAGTAACTCACTTGACTTAAAAGCCTAGGTGTGATATCACCTAGTAGCTGTTTGCCTCTCTTCAGGCCTCTAACTTCCTAAAAGCATGAATCTTTCAATTATTGGCCAGTGTTATATGCTATATTAGTATCATATTTTCTTTTTATAGAATAAAAACAAACACAAAATCAAAGAGCAAAAGAAAAAAAGGGTTGATACTTCAATATCCAGATTCGATCTATCTAATCAAATAAACCCAAAATAATATATAAAAGAAAAAATAAAATAAAATAAAATAAAACAAAGATAGACAACACAATTCTCCCTAACAATCACTTGTACTAACCAGTCTCTAAAAGCAAATTAAAGACTCAAAACCAGAAGGAAACAAATAACTTGAAGTTTTCTTAATACGAACTGTTATTAATGAAGTCTCAAATATGATATATCGGGTATTTTGAATGGTTTACAAAAGGATCAAACCTTGTTATCTTGCTTTTTTAGATGAACTCCCTTTTGCATTTGGCATCCAAACCAGAGGAGACTCTGAGAACAGTAAGTAGAAAGAAAACTCAAGCTATTTTAAGAACAGAAGGCTATAAAGAACTCTTGAAATAATACTTCTTGATTGAAAACTTGCAAAACTACACTTTTTTCTTATTGGTTTTTTTTTCATAATTTTTGACAAAAAGTAGAAGATTTGGCTATCTCTCTAAAAGATCAGCAAAGAATCAGTATTGTTTATCACTTCTATTCTCAGAAAGTTTCGAGTTGTATTATAACGAATAAAAAAAACAACAAACATGTACAAGAAGAAAGTTTTGAGGCTGAAATTAAAACTAACGATCATGTGTTAAGGCTTTAAGATCAGTTACTCTAGAACTCAAGTTAGATTTAATATGAGAGTTAACAACTAGAGTAGTAATATAAGATATACAATATTCCAAAGTTGTAGGTATATAATCTTTAGTCCTCAGCACAGGCTAAAATGTATTGTAGTTTTTTTTGTTAAATAGCTCTATATATAGATTTCTACGACTATGTAGATAGTTTTTTATCTGGTTAGTGGGTTTTTATATTTGTAGACAAGTTCTCTTAGATTTTAGAATAGTCTTTAAAATCTTTTATAATTTGGTCATTTCTTTGTATATTTGTTTTTTTTATTTACCTCTTTTTCATTTTACACTTATTCTTTTTTTTTCTTTTTACTTCTCTATAAGAAAGTGTCATCAGATTGGCGATACTCTATTGCAGAGCAATAATCTTGACAAGATCGGTGAAAACTATTTGTTTGATCTCTGAGTCTCACATTTTTAGTAAGTTGAGGATCTTGGAAGAAGAAAAATGTTCACTTAGACGGGTTGCTCTTGGGTTGTATTCTAGTATAAATTTGAGATTTACTTTATTTTTACTGTGATAATGAGATAGATTGAGAGATTCTTTAATTGTACAGGAATAAAGTATTTCTTATAGATAATATAGGTTTATCTAATTGAGATATCTTGTTGTAAGGTACTGCTGATTTAAAAAATAAAGGAAGGATTGCTGAAGTAAAAAAAAAAAAAAGTAAAAAAAACAAAGATAGCACTATTAAACCTATACCGGATTATAAAAATTATATAGTACTACTAAATAAACTAGTCTAAACTCTATACCAGTTATTTATACTATATTAGAATATATAAAATATTTATTCTTAAGTAGAAATTCAAGTTCAAAATTTCTTTTGCGGTCTTATCAAGTCTTCGATATAGTATCTTGCAATACATTCTCATGTTTATACTTATTTCCTAAGCAAAGTTAGTAATCTAGAGATCTTGGTGTAAATACTATAACCTCTTAAGAAAACTAATCAGATATTTTTCATTCCAAAATAGACATATACTCCTGTATGTGATTTTTTTTTTTTGGTAGTGATTGTTGTTATCGATTCTTTGATAAGAATATGTCAGATTTTCTACTTTTTGATAAAATTTTATAAAGAACAGAGAATAGGTTTTTGGTAGAGGTTTTAGTTTGCAGGTAACCTTAAACTTCGATAGAAAGTATGTTAAAAACTTGCTTGTTGTTTTTCTTCAGACCAACTATCTTTTACTTCGTTAGTAGAAACTATGCTTCTATTAAAATTTTTTATACAAAGGTATCACCTCCTGCTAGTTATCTTGTACAAGAATGCTTTTAACTTGTTTGCTAAATATACAGAGAAGTCTGGATGAAGAACAAATAAGTCTT